CAAACATTCCACAAACAATTCATGACACAGTGACATACAGAAATTCACTATCATCTGGCACACAGCCTGGGCAGTCCTATGGCAGTCAGCAATAATGTAGAGGTATGTGTAAACTCCATGATGATAAGGGTACTGTGCTTCAGTACCCATTTCCTCTGCTCTATCAGGACAGTCAGAACACTTTCTGCCAACCACGTATTTCTGGCAGTCCTATCTCCACTTGCAATTTACTTCATAAATATCATGCAAGCAGCTGGCTCCCAGAACCCCAGAACTTCTTCGAAAACCAAACACACCAATTGAGTACATTAGGTATCCTGCAACTTCAGGTACCTCTCCATTAGTAGGTAGGCAGTTTTACTGAGGATAATATTCATGCTGTATGACTTACCACAGTCATGTGCTAGTAACACTCTGGGCTACTGCAGGTTCAGTGTCAACAAGAGTAAAAGAGATGCAGGCAGATTTTCTCCTGCCAGAAGGAGGACAGTTTTGCATACATACACAATGAGTGTCACTCCGTGACATCGCAATGCTCATATAGCTTTCCAACCTCTCTTCTAACTCTACCTTGGTATTCAAACTGGTTGAAAGTAGCATCTCCAACTTCTTGGGGCAACTGTTCCCACTCTTCCTCCACTACTTCCTGCAACTTCTGAAGCAGCTGTTACTACTGCCTTTTTGGTAGCTCCATGGCTGCAAATTAGACAATGCAAAAAAGATCAGGGAGTGGGCAGGCAGAAAGTCCTATAAATGGGAAACTCAGGGAATGACCTCCCAAAGACGGGACAAGAACAAGCAAGTACAGAGACAGCATGATCTCCAGTTCTCCAGGCACTCTGTGGTGTGATTAAGAAAAGCTGTTTAGATCAGAAGGACACTACGGAAGGGTCTCTGCCCCACTGCTACCTCTAATGACAAACTATCTTTATTTTACAACTGGCTATTCTTTACTCCAAATGAGGATAACATGATGAATATAGAATTTCCACTCCTGAAGTAGAGGAGGAGCCCTTCATACCTCTGAACCCTCACAGAAGGGAAAACACTAAGTTTCTTCTCCTGGGTGTGAGGCTGAGTCCTGCCCCTGAAGCAGAAGGTAATAAACCTTCCTGTGTGATAACTCAAGGCTTGGGGAACGAGGATCCTATGGATCTAGACCCTTCCCTGGGGCAGGGGGTGAGCACAACAGGACAGAGCTGACCAGCTTTTCCCTATATCATGCTGAGATGGGCATGGCTGTGATCTCCAATTTGAACAATTTTCCTAAACTGGTATCACAAATAATCGGGCTGGTCAGATAGCTCAGTGGAAAAAAGTGCCTGCTTAGGCAGGCACACAGACCAGCATTCAAACCCCAGCCTGCCGTGCTGGCCCTGCCCCTAGGCACGCTGAGCCTGCCTCAAAAACTAGGCATTGTCGTTGGGGAGGCTGAAAATAGAAGGATCACTATGAGTCTGATCTGTGTAGTGAGACCCTGTACTAAATATAATAATAATAATAATAATAATAATAATAATAATAATAATAATAATAATAATAATAATAAAACTAGGTGGTTTAAAACAAATTTATCCTGGATGTTATGGTGCACACCTGTAATCCCAGCACTCTCAAAGGCTGAGGTAGGAGTATTACAAGTTCGAACCCAACCTAGGCAATTTAGCAAGACCTGATTTAAAATTTAAAAACTAGGGCTGAAAATCAGGTCAATGCAAAGGCCCTAAGTTCAATACCCAGTACCACACATGTGCACACATTACTCTCTCAGTTCTAGAGTTTAGAGCTCCAAAATCAAGGATCTCTCCTAAGACATTAGGAAAAGATCCTTTGAACTCTTCTTAGCTTCCCCTAGTGGGCACCATAGGACAATCCTCAGTTTGCAGCTGCAATTACTCTAATCTCTACCTCCACTTTCACAGGGCCTTCTCTGTCTACTTTTCTCCATGACCTTTTTAGGACAGTGGTTACTGGATTTAAGGCCAACATAATTTACTATGAAGTTACTAATCATATTTCCAAAAACCTGATTCCCAAACAGATGACTCTCTGTAGCCTCAGGTGGATATAAATTTGGGATAGATTCATTCACCAATCTTTCTCAAGTATTTATCAATTTTAATTATTTAAAAGAACTCTGTAGATTTTTCCTTGTGCTAATTTCCATAAATTTCAAAGGAATCCCTAATCAAGATAACTGCATTTGTTCTAAACAATTCTCTCAATCTGCTTCTGTAGCTCAATCACAGGGATGGTTACACCAATTGATTTTGCCTTCAAATTTCAGATATCTTATTAATTTTAATATTCTACTACTGTCAATCCTTTAACTCTGTATACTATCACTTGCTGTGTCTTCAAGTTCATGGCTCTATTCCTTTATATGTTCTTAGAACATATTCTAGAGTTGTTTGCATTTTTCTAAGGTTTCTGTCTCTGCCCAGATCTTGTATTTCTTCATACATATCTCTTTCCTTTTTTTTTTTTTTGGCAAGCTCCTTCAGCATTTTCATCATTACTGTCAATCCTCAACAATTCAAACATCTGTTAATCTAAGTTTGCTTTTATAGACTTTTGTCTCCGGATCAACTTTTTCTGTTCCTTTTCATATCCTGTAATTTTTTCCTGTTTATTGGGTATTTTCTATAAAAGGATAACAGGTAAGAAAACAAGTAATAGTCCGCTCCAGAATAGGGTATGCCCCTTCTTCAGTCAGCAGTGGCAGGCTGAATCAATCTAATCTACAGCTAAGAGGGATTTGGGCTGCTTTGCAGTTGTAACTTTTTTTTTTTCTTTTTTCAGATAGGGACTGGCTATGTAGTTCAGGCTGCCCTTGAACTCACTATGTAGCCCAAGCTGGTCTCAAACTCATGGTGATCGTCCTGCCCCGGCCTCCCAAGTGCTGGGACCACAGGTGTGAGCTACCATACCTGTCAGTTCTAATTTGAATCATCTCACTCTTTTGGAATATTCTTTTTTTTTTTTTTTTTTTTTTTTCTTCCGATTTTTTTGTGGAACTGGGGATTGAACTCAGACCCTTGCACTTGCCAGGGAAGGGCTTATTCTACTGAGTCATCTCCCCAGCCCCTTTTGCAATATTCTAAGGGGAGAGAAAAGATTTCCTCTTAGGAGGGATTGGGATCTGATCTCACTTAAAGATTAAACACAAAAATATTGACTAACAAGAAAGGGGCCTATCTAGTCATTCAAGTTATTGGATTTGACAGTAGAGACAAGGTGTGCTTTGGGGGAGAGCAAGGTTGCTTTCCATTACTTGACCTTTAAGGTTAATATTTTCAGCCTATGTTTTTTTTTTTTGTTTTTTTTTTTTTAAATGTATTCAGTTGCTACAGTGTCTCACTATGCAGCTCAGACTCATGGTGATCCTCCTGCTTTCAGCCTCCCCAGTGCTGGGATTACAGGTGTGCGCCACTACGTCCGACTCTGACCTGCTCAGCCTGCCTGGGTGGGGATGGGGGGGGATGCTAGAGTGGCATATGGTATGAGAGGTCAAACCATAGTCCCTGCACTTGCCTAAGCAGGCAGTTTAGTCCACTGAACTATCTCTCCAGCCCTAGCCTATGTTATTTCTAAGGGTAAAAGTCAAAATTAATGGGATTTAAATACTATCAAAATGATATACTTTATCTCAAAACAAATCTTTTAATGTGTGATGCATATCTCTATCCCTAATATTCTAGCAATGAACAAATCTACATATTTCTTCCTAATTTAGCTTTATGAGTTTAAATTCTATCAATTTTTTTCTCACCTTACTGTGGATCCTTCATAATCAGAATTAGCTTCTTTTATGTATAGCAAAAAGGACAGATAATTTCCAGATATGGCTGCACCATGTTTTTCAAAAACATGATACTTTTTTAATGATTTGTATATAACATTTTCTGTACTGATGCCAGCATTTAATGAATGTCTGGTGAAATGTGTCCTGTGTCCA